CTTTCCCTTACTGAAAATACATAGCTTATTTCCTTCTTGTGTTGTAATATTGGGAGTAATCCAACACCATGCATATGTCTATACATTTCTCATGTTCCCCCTTTTGATTCCTAACAATATTGTATAATATAATATGAGAGCCAGTTTGGAGTATAGCTTGAGTGCTGGGACTATGACCCTGGAGACCAGGATCCAGTTCCCCACTCAGTCATGGAAACCCACTGGGTGACCATGGATGAGTCACACTCTCTCAGCCCTGGTCTGCTTCTGAAGATGGATGCATGAAAAGGCACCCAGAAAAGTCCTGGGGGGGGGGGATGCTGTCTTCACACTTCTGGCTACAAGAACACAACCATGATGCCTGCATATGTCACAAACAGCACTCCTGGTGCAAAATTCAGAATATGCACTGCATGAAATAAACCACTTTACACAGCCCTTCCTCTAAATATGGTTTAAAAAAAATCCATTATGTAGAGATTACAGCATTTCGCAGAGATAACCACAAAGATCTGAAAAACAACTGGGTTTGAAAGCAAGCTATTTTGTCCGTAGTCTAAATGTTCCAAGTTAAATTACCACTGAAACAAACTGTGGACTAACCAAGCTGGACTACGGAAATCCCGAAAATGACTTGTTGCTGTTCATTGTCTGTTTAATAGCGATGTGTGTGAAAATCTTTAAGTGCGATATCGCGTTTCGCTGTTTAACCCCCCAATTTCCCATGTGTGATAAAGTCCTAAGGCTGTACCCACACTACAGAAATAATCCAGTCTGACACCATTTTTACTGCCATGGGTCAATAATATGGAATTCTGCAAATTGTAGTTTTGTTAAGCATTTAGCCTTCCCTGTCAGAAAATTCTGCTACCACAACAAACTACAATTTCCAGAATCTCATAGCATTGAACCATGGCAGTTCAGGTGGTGTCAGACTGGACTATTTCTGTAGTGCGGATCCAGGAAGTTTTTAGCCACTTCCTGGAAACTTGTACCTTCAGTAAGCTCATTTCTTATTAAAAAGATCCACAAAAATAGTCATTACCTGTTGACTATGAACGGACATTCCAATTTTCTGTCTACCTGGCTAGGCATTTGGGATGCCTTAGTTTCTCATACAAAACAGAAAATATCCAGGTAATTTATCAAGAATATAGCTCAGGGAGGCACAGAGGAATTAACAGGGAGGCAGTGCAATATGACAAATAGTTTTATTATGAAGGAATTGGAACAAACTTTAATTTAGAAAGAGGGAATTGGAACAAACTTTAATTTAGCCACAGAAAAGAACTGTGGCTAAAATGCAGGGTCTTTAAATTCCATTTATTTTACTGTAAAGGGGTAAATCAGTTTTGGTGACATGGGCACTAAAAGCATTTGTTTAGGTCAATAAAAAGAACTCTAAATAGCTAGAAGTGCTGAATGCCCTTTTAAGTCTAGGTATATCTTCATTATTTTCCAGAAACAATGAGCATTAAGGAGATTTGGAAGGTGGGTGGGGGATAATCCTTGTTAGTTGGTTCTGAAACCACCTACTTTTAAATCAAAATTGTTCCAAGATTGGGAAAAGAGTGTCTGTCCATTCTTTGTAACATGGACCAAATAATGCTTCAAAAGTCCTCAGAGACTTTGTAAACAGCTAATCAGAAAAGCTTATTCTAAACTAATGCAACATAAAAACACATTAAATTTTGTTTTTCAGGCACAGTATTAACTTTCAATGGTGGTGGCAGGGTGGGGACAACTGCACAGATTTCAAGTAGTGAATTGGTAAAATTTAAAATACCCTTTGCCTACAAGTCTAATGTTTCCCTAGACCAGGGGTAGGCAACCTTTCCCCTTTAAGGACCGAGGGACTTCAGCTCCCAGCAGCCTCAGCCATGTTGGCCAATAGTCCCATGTTGGCCAATAGCTCCTGGGATTCTGGGAGCTGAAGTCCCTCGGCCCTCAAAGGGGAAGAAAGGTTGCCTACCCCTGCCCTAGACCCTAGAGAACATTTTTAATTTACTTGAGCTTAGCATTTGGAATGTAGTAGCCAGCTATTAAGCAAGCATGAAAAGAAGAGCAATTAAAATGCTTCAAGTGCTCTGAGTATAAACATGTTAACTCTGTACAACAGTGTACTAGTAACATATAGGAGAAATCATAGCAAAGTATAATCCACTTCTAAATGTCATGCTGTTTACTATTTAAATGTTCGGTTTGGGTGTTGATTTCTTATCTGCCAACATTTTACTATGTGGATTCCTTATTCCAGGTTAACCCAAATAGTTCTGTGGTTCTAAAATTACAAAATACTGGCAACTGCCTTGATTCAGATACTCAAGAGTTGCACTTTAAAAACTAAGGAGAACTCTCCAGAAAAGCCATAGAGATATTACAAAAATGATAGACCTGGTGGCTCAAACTGAAGTTCCCCAGGAGGGAAAAGAAAAGCAAAAAGAAGGATGCTACAAAAGAGAGAGAGATAATGGCTTGCCTCTAGAGAGACACTCAGTGTGCAGAAGAAACAGGAAGATGGAATGAGGAGAGTTGCAGCCTGGAGGAAGAAGACATCTGGCAGGTGCTTTAGAACTACAATATGCTCCGCTGATTTATTTTTATCTTGGACTGAGCAAAATATCTGTGTCAGGTCTGAAGCAACAATTGAGGGAAGAGACAGGGGATAAAACCCAATTACCTCAGCTTCAGAATACATACTAATCCTTGTCAAGAAAGAATATTAAGAGAACATCATCCAGGAGCTTCTCCAGCTCCATCACCTGGCAGCATATAATATTTCAGAACTTTCCTCTTTACATATGGGGAGTATTTGGAGGCAAAATGGCGTTTTGCTCAGAAGACAAAATATGAGGGTGCTGAGAATGGTGTGTGTGTGAGACAGAGATGAGCAATGCAAAAGGGGAGCAACACAGTACAGCTGAAGCAATTTGAAGAATGAGGATTTTTGCAACTATAAATATATGACCAAGGATTTACCTCCTGTAATATTAAAGGCCAGGTGTGATTTATTCCTCAAGTATATCTATATTTCTGACCAATTCACTGGTTCTGTAAAAAAACAAAAACAAAAAAAAAGCAAGTCTTTGTACTATGTGTCTTTTTTTAAGGGTAGGAATTTATGTATTTTGAGTTAGAAAAAAGCAACTAGAGTTTAAAAGTGAATGTCACCAAAGTGCATCTTCAAATCTTTCTGGCAGTAGAGGCTGACAACACTGAATTCTCTTCGAATTTTAGTCCAAATTTTAAAGGACCTATCCAAGTATGTCAGCTATCTCATGTAAAGGTTGAACTAAAATCTGGGGAGGATACACCAACCCACTAACACCAGGGATACCATTTTACTGCAGCATCCATGGATTCTGATATCCACAGGGGTCCCAGAACCAAGCCCCAGTGGATACCAAGGGCCCAGTGTACAGTTTTACACAGCCAGTGTTTTTAAGTCAGCTTTCCACTCCACAATGCTCAAACAATCCAACAGCAAAGTCTAACCTCTTACGGAGAAGCTTAACCTAGAATGGGAGACAGGGTAATTTGACCCAAGAGGTTTAACCTATAAATGACCAGACAATTTGACTAGTGATGAGTGACACAATTTGCTCTGCGTGTTCTGACACAGTATGGGATCCAGAGCTTTAAGAAGTTAGTTTCTTCTTGTTGGTCAGAGTAATGGGGAATTCTGGAAGCTGCAATCCAAAAATGTAATTTTTCCAGGCTCTCCCCTAAAACTCTAAAATATTGTGAATATTTCTACAGAATGATATGAAATAAGGAAAGAGAATTGCTCTCTATATGTTTCATGCTCAAGCACTAGAGGACTTTGCTGAGCTTGTTAGCTCAAGTCAAGAAAGCAGCTTAAGAAATTATAAGTAACCCCCAGAGCCATGGTTTCTGTTTTCTTGATGTTAAAATTTAAAGTAATAGACTTAACATGACATGTAAAAACTTTCTCTGAAAGTTACAGAGAACAATTTCTTTCACTGTTTCCTGAGATGGCCCTTGTTGTTTTCACATTGGATATTTGTTATCAGTCTTCCTTTTGCAGCAAAAAAAGCACTTATCTAATTTTTGCATACAGTTCTGTCACCATCATTTATAAATCATACATGCTAAGTAGGAAACATTCATCTGCATACATTTCCTAATTTTCCCAGAAGAAACTTTTATAAACTCTTCTCTTTTGCATCTATGATGACATCAAGCACACACAGATAAACCAGAAAGGAGGCAGTCTAAAGATGGGACTGCATGGGACAACAGTGTGTTGTAGTGATTGAAGTGATTGAAGTGTTTAACTGTGACTTGGGTGAGCTTAAGCTAGTTAAACTATCTCAGCCTAGCACACCACACAGGACTGTTGTGAAAATGAAGTGGTGAACAGAAGAGTCATGTACACACTTTAAGGTCATCAGAGGAAAAGGAGGCTATACAGGTAATTAATAAAAACAAAATCTGAAACATCTGCAATACTGTGGCTGAGATCTTAGATCAGGTAAATGTGGTGTGAAGTTCCACAAGGTGGAATTATACCATATTAGACACTACACATACTGTTATAGCACTATTATTCCACTTTAACTGCTATGATGGCCTCCTGTGAAATCCTGGGATTTGCACTTTAGAGAGGGGCATTTAGAATTCTTGGCCAGAGAGCTTTTAGGTCTCCCTAAACTACAAAATCCCCAAATTTTGCAGTAGCCAGCCATAGCAGTTAAAGTGCAACAATAGTGCTGTAGTGTGATATTGACTACAGTCTCTTGCACTTACATTTTACCTGCTGTAGCACACCCACCTCCACATGGCCATTTACCAGCTAGTACAGGGGTAGGCAACCTTTCCCCTTTAAGGGTCAAGGGACTTCAGCTCCCAGAATCCCAGGAGCTACTGGCCAACATGGGACTATTGGCCAACATGGCTGAGGCTTCTGGGAGCTGAAGTCCCTCGGCCCTTAAAGGGGAAAGGTTGCCTACCCCTGAGCTAGTAGAAAGCAAAATGGAGCCAGTATGGTATAGTGGTTGAACATTGGACTATGACTCTGAAGACCAGGGTTCAAATCCTGGCTCAGCTATGGAAACCCACTTGGACAAATCAGCCTCAGAGGATGGTAATGGCAAAACCCCTCTGAACAAATCTTACCAAGAAGACCCTTGATAGGTTTGCCTTAGGGTTGCCAGTAGTCAGAAATGACTTGAAGGCACACCACCACCACCACCAGCACAACAGAGTGTGGAATGTGTGTGTATCAGGGGAGAGTGATCCAGCTGTGTTCCCATAACATGACAGACAGCAACAAGGCATTCTCTAGGAATTCCCTAGATTCTCTGGAGGCCCTGGTGGATGACATCATTGCTGTGCATCCAGCTACAGGGACATAGCTGGACGCTTCTCTGCTGCCCCCCACTCTCTGCTGGTCAGCAAATGGATGTGCTGGGGAGTCTGCAGTAGGTAAAGCAGACTGAGGGGAGGGGGGGGGCTGCACAAAATTGATAAAGAACTCATACCTTAACTGTCAGAATATGGACAAACAGAATGGTTCCCAATTGGCAAAGGGGTCAGACAAGGCTGTATCCTTTCACCCTATCTGTTAAACTTGTATGCAGAACATATTGTAAGAAAAGCAGGCTTAGACACAGAAGGAGGAGGACTGGAAATAGGAGGAAGGAATATCAACCATCTAAGATATGCAGATGACACCACAGTACTAGCAAAAAACCTCACAGACCTGGAACATCTACTAAGGAAGATCAAAGAGGAAAGTGCAAAGGCAGGCTTAATGCTGAACATAAAAGAAAAATAATGACCACTGAGGACCTTCACAAGTTCAACCTAGCCAATGAGGAAATAGAAATAGTAAAAGAATTCCCATACCTGGGATCAAACATTGATAGAAATGGGGAATGCAGCCAGGAAATCAGGATAAGATTAAGAATGGGGAGGGTGGCTATGAAAGAACTAGAAAAGATTCTAAAATGCAAAGATATACAACTCAGCACAAAAGTTAGAATCATACAAGCCATTGTATTCCTTATTACCACGTATAGATGTGAGAGCTGGACAGTTAAGATGATAGGAAGAAAATAAATTCATTTGAGATGTGGTGCTGGAGAAGAGTGTTGAGGATCCCACGGACAGCCGAAAAGACAAACAAGTGGGTCCATGAGCAGATCAAGCCAGAAACCTCCCCGGAAGCCATGATGACCAAACTGAGGCTGTCACACTTCAGGCATATCATGAGAAGGAAGGATTCATTGGAAAAGTCTGAGGAAGATGGAGGGAAGTAAGAAGAGAGGGAGGTCACATGCCAGATGGATGGACTTTAAGGAGGTCATCAATATGGGTCTGCAGGAATTAAGCAGAGCAATGTAGGACAGAGGATATTGGAGATGTCTCATTCATAGGGTTGCCATGAGTCAAGATCGACTTGAGGGCAGTTAACAACAACCTCAATTAACTAAATGGGTGCAGTGGTTAAATGCTGGTACTGCAGCTACAATGTTGTAAATTCATTCCTAGAGGAGGGCTCCAAGGTCCCCACAGCCTTTCATTATTTTGTAGGTTGGTAAAATGAGTATCCAGCTTGCTGGGAGCAATTGGCTTACACATTGTAAACTGGTTAGGGAGTGCTAGTTCACTGATTAGTGGTACAGAAATGTACTTGCTATTGCTATTGACTTATACAAGCCTAAGTTGGACTTGCACTACGAAATTCACTAACAGGATGGGAGCCTACATATAATTCTCACTGAGTGAAGCTGAGGAGGAGCTGTGATCAGACTGTTGGTGGGGATCACATCATATATGGATGAATAATCGTCCATACAATAGAATTATCTCTCATTAAGAATCAATGGCAAGAAGAATTACAATATTTGGAAGAAGTGCTAGCAAACTTGTTTGAGTGATTTTTCTGAGTGAAGCAGTACCTGGAAAAAGTTACCTATATCTGGTCAATGGAGATGCTAGCAGAGGCACTTTGGGAATGGATGGAAAGGTTTTTTCCACAAAGAACAACTGCTCATGCCCATCTGAAGTCTGATGGAATAACTGAGTTTCAGCCTGCATAGTGTGCAACAGTGCACAGAAAATTTAGCAATGGTGTTCTTCACTTTGCAGGCTCAACCTGTACTAGGTGCACATACCTGAGACAGGTTTCTAAGTTATGTTTTTCATATTTAGTTCTGTAATTCATTTAGCAATTTCATTCAGTTCAGTTTGCTTTTATTACTTAGACCCTTAGGTCACCACAACTTAACACAAGGAAGAGAAAGAGAAGTCTTTATTAAAAAAAAGACAAAATGAAAACCATTTTAATTTTCTTTCCTATTTTTCTATTCTTTCCTCCAGTTAAAACTCTAGTGCACTTAAAGAGATCTTATCTGGAAATTTAGTCTACAGTGTCATTAGCGGCTGACAAGATGACAAGACAACTTGAAGTTTCAATAGTGTTATACTGCAGATAACTCTCAAAATTTTATTGGGCAATCATATGAGTGAGAAAGAGCTGCTGAAGGGCAGGGTGGTAAACAGGGAGAGGGGAATTCATGCCCTGTAGACATCATACTGTGATGGCATGGCTGCTTCTCTTATGTCTCTCTTATTCATCTGATGCCCATGGCTGTCATTGGCTAGCTGTTATATTACTTTTGAAATAAAAGTCTATATTACTTTTGTAATATAACATTTTAGAGAAACTATTTTAAATTATTGTAGGCTGGCATGGGTCCCATGGTTTGAAGAAAGACGGTATATCAATTGAAATGATCACAGAATCATAGAGTTGGAGGAGACCACAGGGCTATCCAGTCCAACCCCTTGCCATGCAGGAAATCACAAACAAAGCATCCCTGTCAGATGGCAATCCAGCCTCTGTTTAAAGACCTCCAAAGAAGGAGACTCCACCACTCTCTGAGGGTATGTATTCCCCTTTTGAATAGCTCTTACTGTCAAGAAGTTCCTCCTAATGTTGAGGTGGAA